CGCATCTCTCCTGTCCTGAAAGCGTCGCTCAACGTGGCAGCCATCGGGCCTCGTGCTGCTGCCGCCCTCTGAAATAGGCCCCGTCCCCTTCTTCGCACCCGGTGTCTTGAGGCTTCCGTGTCTGCATCTCTCCTGGTTGTTTGTTCCCCCGTGTGTCACCTGCCTCCGTGTGTGGGCAGCTCGCTGCTGCTATCTGGAGTAAGTGGAACTTTCCCCAACTCTGAAGGAAAAGGTTCCCAGTTTGAATCACTCGGTACTTTGCCCATGGTGCTTTTGGCTTGAGTTCCATTAAAGAATATTGATTCCACATGCTTTACAATTTCTATTTATTGAGAGCTAGGAAAAAAGCATCCAATGGGAGTCCTTAACTGAAAGCAGCTCTCCATGTTTTCTTCTACCAAAACAGAAGTTGTTTTTCACACTTGCTTGATGTTTCCAGTCTTCATGTTAATTTCTAGTTGACTCGGTGCCTATTTAGAATAATCCTTATTTCCACAAACAAGTGCGGGATAAAATTCTGTTGTCTCCTGCAAGTCACTGATGTAAGAGAGGGTAGGTAAGAGAAAACTTAATGCATGTAGCAATGATCCCTGCTTTCTGAAAAAGAAAAAATGTAAAATCAGTGGAACATAGTGGAGACATAGATAAATCTACAAGCCAAGCTCTAAAACCAAATTCCAGATAAAATATTTTTTGTTTGCAGTTTTCACGGTGTAGGACTTTCTTTGGCATCACTATGCAATGATTCTGTGATTTTTTTTTTCAATTTGCAAAGTACCTATTTAGTACCTATTTAGTACCTATTTACCTATTTTGAGGAATGGGAGACCACGATGGCATTAAAAAGATGCGCAACTGTTGCGGAATGGGTATTTTGCGAGAATTTGCTTGTGTAACGTGAAGCTTGTGTACGTGCATTGCCGTGTGCAGGTGTTACGTTGCTGTATCAGTAATTTTGCTGCGTTCTCTTCTAGCTGGGGTTCCCACGCAGCTCATCTCCTGTGAGGTGCCGCCGAGCAGTCCAGTTAGGTGATAAGCAGACAGACCCTTGCAACAAGATTTCAGCAGAGAATCGAGCAGTGTGATCTCACGTGTCCGTAGTGGTGCTTTTGGGGGCACCTGGCTCCTAAAACCCTTGGGACAAAGGCATCCAGAAACAAGGAAATAGAGAATGTAACTTTGGGTTATGATGGGGGCAACTGTCCCCCTGGCAGCCGCGTTCTGCGATAGCAGCGAGGGCCGGTGGGCACCGCTCTGCGCTGTGACAGGGACCTCAACGAGGCGAGAGGCTCTGCTGCTGCCCCAGGCTGTGCAGCAGCCGCCCGGGGCCCGGTGCGGCCCTCAGCGAGAGGCTTTGGCTTCCCAGCCTGAGCCCGCGTGGGCTCTGCTCTGCTCCCCTTCCCTCCACGGCTGGCAGCAGCTGAAAGGAGAAGGGAGCCCCGGGAGCCCCTGCGCGGGGCCCACAGGTCACTGCTGCCCAAAGGATTCAGGCCGCCAGAGCAACGGCCGTAGTCTCGGCAGGATCATGTGGGGTCTCGTTCCTGGGGAAGGTGGAAATGGTGCTGCCTGGCGTGGAGATGCAGCAGCTTCACCAAGTGCGTTTTCCTTTAGGACGTGAAAGGAGTTGAAACTGAAGCTTAACCTGGTTTAACATGAAGTATTACTGCAATGTACATAGAAGACCTGCAAGCTAATTTGTATAGCCAGATAAGTACAACTCCACTTTATTCATCCAGCCCAAGGTTAATCCCTAAAGCACGCATGTTTTAGTACACAAATGGTTCCCAACAGTGTTTCATTTGCAGTCAGGCAGTGCTTATTCCCTGATAAATTATCAAGTCTATATAGTAAAAACATGACATTTATGTTTTAAATAGTGATCGGGTTGTTGGGGAAGCGTTTCACTTCTCAACTGTGGCTTTTCTTATTTTGGGAAAATAATTTGGAGGATAACTTAAACTCTGCCTCTGCAAAGAGACCCACTGGTGCGATGGCGGTGGCAGTTTCAGCAGTGTCAGATCCTCAGGCAGTTGTTCCTGGCCGTGGCGTGACCCGTGTGACGGAAAGGGGAGGGCGGGTGATGCTCGGGCAGGAGGGAAGCAGCAATTGTGCCCCGTGGGTTTCTGTGTTTCCTTTTCTAACGTTGTCGATCCGGAGGCTCCCGCGTGTTTGAGGGCAGAGGGAGCAAAGCTGGGTGCAGAGGTTCCCAGGCGCCCCCTCATCCATGTGCGGCCCTGGGGACAGGCAGTGACGGGAACCCCGCGGTGCCAGCCCGGTCCATGGTGGTTTGTTGTCGCGGAGCTGCTCCACTCTGCGGCCTCCCGCTCTGGATCCGCTCCCGGGGCGCAGGGACGGAGCCGCTGCAGCTCGGGGCTGCGGCGGGAACGGCTC